CGACGTTCAAGCTTAACTGGTGGAGGAAGACCTCAGTTGCCTTTTTGTGAATTTTTTCAGGCAGGAACGGGCACCCCAGTAGAGCCACCGACGTTCCGTAAGCTAGCTGCATAGCTTCCTCGTAGGAACAAATCCGAAGTTCCTGTCGGGATTTGAACCCACAGCAGTAAGGGGCAAGTGTCATACATGTTTTACTTAACTATTTATAAACAAGTTTACAAGAAACTCGAACAGGAAAGTATTCCTGTAGAGAAAAAGCATTTAGAATTGAAGAGTATTAATTAAACGTTATGGAATTTCTACAAGGGTGGTAAGAAAATATCTTTTCTGTTTTAAAACGATTATAGATTTAAATGAATTGATGTGTTTCATAAATGTGTTAATGAGAATATTTTGTGGCCTAATGCTGGCAATATTACATAGAGGAACAAAACTTGTTTTATCGTCATTCCTTTAACATTGTACTTCAATAGTGTCAAGATTAGTCAAGCCATATATTTATCAAGAGATATTTCACCATACACTACATAAAAAAGGGATTTCTTACACTGGCAGCTGATATATTTGTCTGGTCTATCATTAACCTGTATCTCGTAAAATATTTCGTTAAAAATAAGGTAAAAATTCATTCAGTATCTATTTCTATAATTATAAAGTATGCACCTTGCAGCAGAGTATTTCCCGACACCATGCATTTTTATAAATCATTTTTTTTTCAAAATTGAAAGAATAAGCATATTATTATTCTGACCCATAACATAGTTTTCAAATACCACTTTTAGAAGTCTTCTATGTCAAGTAATGTTTATACATATAATGTCAAATATAAAATTTTACCCTCAATCAATACCTATAACATTACAAAACAAATTACATAACGAAACTCTAAATTTGACGGGTTGTGATTTTCGATACTGTCTAAAATTCCACAATTAGAAAGTCATAACGTTTTTCTTTCTAAAGGCAAAACAAAAAAGATGCATAAACATTTAGTTTAAAAAAATATTTGTTCATTCTAAATCAAATTCAACATTATTTCTATAACATTCTAAAACCGTTGAGAAATGTAATATTTGATGTGTAATAAAATATTCAAACACTTATGGGAATATCTTACGACAAAAAGTACTATAGGCTTATAATAACTTGTTGAAAGCATTTCATTTATTATCAAATTTCGCTGACAGAATTTAATGGGCAAAAACTACAATTTTTCATTTTCAATTTCTGTAATGTATAAACTTACACATTAAAATAAAGTGAATTTGACGATGCTTTTATTTTAAAAGAAATATATTCGCCTTTATTGATATAAGCTTTGTATACCGAATAAGCCCTTTTATATATATAATATAAAAAAGAATTGGAAAGTGATGGAGTAAGGTTTAGTTGAGTTATCAATGTACAAAACTTTCAATCAGATAATTAATTGAGCGGGTATTTTAATAGAAGAAATATTTAGTTACTTCGCATATTCAGTGAGATAAAATATAATTATTTGTAAATATTAACCTTTTATATCACCAAATCATACAAAGTGACATTCTACTTTTACTAAAAATCTACTACTACTACTACTTTTACTAAAAATTCTTTTACTAAGTCTTATTTTCAAAGAAACAAATTATAGATCTCAAACAAATGATTGAGCTTTTAAGGCACAGTTTTTAAAGTGTTTTTTAAAAATATCATAGATGTTTTGCTTTTGGTGGAATGTGACATTTCTAGGTGAATTGCCGTGGATTTATAATAATTTCCTCAATGTTATAATTTTATCGTGAAAATGATAAAAAGTAATAACATTTTTTACTTTTGCATTTAAACAAACCTAGATGATCATTGTTTTGATTTTAAATGATAGTCTATATAACTTTTAACAGCACATCTTTAAATAACATTCAAAATCCATGTACCAAAACAAAATACTTTAAATCAATTAACAAAAATCCAGACAGTTACACAAAAAAACAGAACAAACATAATACGCTTACATATTTTTGTTTGTCGAACTATTTTGGCGGATTAATGTGTGATCTATCTCAAACGTTGTATTTTACCTTGTGATTTGAGCCTGATTTGAAATATTTAATTTTCTCGAATAACAATGTTTATTGCAATTTATTAAAAAACGAGGAGATTACACAAATATATATTTTCTAAATGAATACTCTTTGAAAAAAGAAATCACAAATATAGACAAACTAAATAACGACAAACTGTACTAAGGAATCACAATAACTATAGTACAATTATATGGCAGTTTTGAAAAATCAGAGGTTGTCAAAATGTCAGTTTTTGAAACTATTACTTAGATGTTGATAATTAAATTTGCTTTTGTATGAACTATCAAACGAGTCATAAGTTAGTTTTATTATGAAGTTAGATACCACTTTCATTGTAAATATATATGTCAAATGGCTGGCTAAATTGAAATGAAAAGAAAACTTCTGCGACAGTGTCAATTAATATAAATAACGAATATTATAAAAACATTCGATTCTTCATTTGTTTGAATAGGGTTTATATCATTATGCTTTCTAAAATGGGTAACTATTTATTTGACAGTCTCACGTTTGTTTAAAAAAGCATTGATCCATTTTGTAACTTGCAAACAACAAATGTTTTATGCAAATCAAAGCAATTCATTTAGACAATCTCGTGCAAGCCTAACGAATTGTTTGTTCACGCTCTGTGTGATCAGGAGTTTTAGCAATAACTGATTCAACTGATATTAATTCTGACCCGGTGCATTTTCTTCAATCAAAGTGTCAGCTTTCTGATAAATTAAAATAGTTTTACCGCTTTGTAAAGAATGGCTCAATTCAATTGAGAATTTTGTATGGCAAAGAACTTGAATGGATAGAAATAAATAAGGTGAAGGAAATTGTAGTGGTAAATGCATTAATTCAGACTATTGCTTTTGTCTCTCAATGTCCGAATGACATTTTTTATTTTACGTAATATGAAGTGCAAGCTACCGTTCTCGTCACGTAGCACTGGCTAACGCAAAAGTTTACCTTTAAACACTCGCAGATGTATTTATAAATGCACTATGATAATCAGTTGATAATGATAAGGTATATCCCTTATTTAAAGGGACTCCACTGAGGTTTTTTGACATGATGGGACTGAAAATTATTTTTTCCAGATAAATGTACCATTTGATGTAGGTTAAGAACACTAATCTTTATGCAAAATTTCAGATCATTCGCGCATTTCGTTTTTCTAGAATATTTACCAAAATTGTAAAACAATGACCCAGAATGAAAAGCATTTAAACGCTTTTCACTCAAATCGAACTAAGGAAAGCATAAACATATGATTTTCAATTTATTTCAAAGTATTTTTCTTAGCTATCTTTGCATATATTTCTGTATAAAAAGCCCAAGCTCATTTATGTAAGAAATTCAAATGTTATGTTTTTAGGCTTTTAAACCTCAGTGGAGTCCCTTTAAGTTACACTGATTTTTCGACGAATTTGCTTTTTCTGAATATAAAAGTTTCATCGGGATATATGTATAACAGTTGTACATTGGCGAAAATAAATAAACCGTGAACAAAAATCTAAATATCATTGTAATCATCTTCCACAATATGCTTTCACGCCTCACAATTTGGCAAAACCAGTGTGTCTGAAATACATAACACCATGATAATTCAAAAAAATAATGAACAGTTTTGTACAATATTTCAGTACAGTACAAAGAACGAGTATTTGAAAAGTAATTGAAATTTGTATGTGGCTACATTGCGTATAATCAATTAAAATACTTTTACATGTAAGACAATAAACATGTGTTCAATAACACTTATTGAAATAAATTACCATTACATTATATATTTTAGTGCCAAGTCTAGTATTTTTATAAGCACACGTACTAGTTTTGATACCCAGCTGATGGTACATTTAGGACCGATAATTTCATTTAGTTTCAAGAACCTGTGGTTTGTTTTATATTGTTTAAATATCGGCGACATAACATTTACGCTTTGCATTGTATTAAAACGAAAAAAAAATTAAATAAAGAAATATTTGGAAAAGAAATGTAGTAAATATTAAAAAGATTCAGTTTGCATTTTTTTTACAATCATGGCATTAATTACTAAAATGAAACAAAATGTGAAATTGACCTTTGTCCTAGACAAGCGTAACTAAATGACTATAATATCCGATATAACAAGTTTTTTAAGTGTACTAAAGTGGAATCCGTAAAACGTCAATATAAATACTATATAAGCGGTCATTTATGCCTTAAATGTGACACGAACTTTGCCTTAGAAAAATCCGGAACTTACAGTTATAACACCCTTTTTACAGATATATTTAGATCTAAAAATGTTAGGTTTACGTGGTTCACAAATTAATTTATATTAATTGCTTTAAAGGATTATTTCCATTAAGAAATTTACAGTACAGTTAAATTAATCAAGAGAATACGAAATCGTGGCACTCCAAAAGGTTAAACTAGTCCATAGGCAGTTTAAGGTATAAGTTAAGTACAGCAAATATAATGGTGCATCCGACAAATAAAGTCTTTGTTAAAATAAATAACGATTAAATCTAGAAACAATGCAACGCCTCCCTTTTTTGCCATTAAACGCCTGTGTGTAAATTAAATTTATATAAGCTTTAAGAAAAATATTAACATGTTATAAGAACTGACACCTTGTTTTGTTTTATATAACATGTATGAAAGAGCTAGGGTTTTTCTTTTGACAAGAAGATAAACATTTCAACTTTTGTTATAGTTTAACATTGGTTTTAGGATAACGTTCAAATTTCATTTCACTTTGAAATTGATATAATTGATGTGTTACATGTTATTGTTATGTTTTAGGTACTCGTATATTTTTTTTCTGCTGATCACATTCTTAACTTAATTTGGTACGTCCTTCCTCGACTTTTTCTTCGGTTCTATAATAAATTACTGCCAATATACAAATCAACGATAAAATAAAAAAGAAAGAAAGAACACAAAAACATGAAGAAGACAACTTACTTCTTAAACAAAGGTTTCCATATCATCTGATAACTTATGTGAGTAGATTCCAGCAATATCCTATGCTTCTATGAAGTTTTATGTTCAGAAGGATAATCTAGAAAACAACTTCGATTTCTCTGGAAAAAAAAATGAATTACACAATATAAAGAAAAACTAATTACCATTAGGTTATCTTTATACTATACTAACAGATTTTGCTATTAATAATAAATTAGAAAATAATAATTGCTTGTAATTACAGGGTTGAATAAATAAGGCCAATTAACGAAATAAAACATAATAATATATTCTTAAAGCAATAAAATAAGACCAACTTGGAATTTAATTGCAAAATAAGAACACATGATGTGATATTATTCCAGAGAATTTGGACAAAACAAAACAAAACAAAATAAGCATTGGCACTTTTGTATTACATTAAAATAGTTAATATTGACCCAAATAGATTTCAACTATTCTTTCAATAATTGTTTTCATGTATAATTAATGAAAAGTCTAAAATAACTATGTTCATTGGTTGGCTTTACCATCACGATCATCAAATAGCAAAATTATTTTAAATGCTTAATTCATGTTTGCTGTGTTCAAAAGGGGTAAAGCTGGGACTAACGGAAATTTGGCACTAGGTCCCTCAGTAGCTCCAAGAAGATAGTGTACTATCTGCTCAAAGGCAAATGTATCACAAGGTGCCACCTGTTTTGTGAAATGAGCAGCGCATTCGCTTAATCGTCGATAAATCAAATTTATAAACAGCAGGGGATTATTTGTTATTAAACGTGTAAATGGGTTTCTTACAATAATCATGCGCTTAAAAAATACATATATGATATTTTTTCAAAAACGAAATCCGGTAATAAAAGTCATTTATTTGTATAAATGTTTCAAAATGTTCAAATTATTTTAGTAAGTTATTTGCCGTCACAGCTTTATATTGGCAAATTTTTGGACACATTTATTTGAATTATGTGAAATTAACTATTCAATGCAGATATTCAAATTTCCATATTCTAAGAATTGTCATGTTTAAATACTTTAAATCTCAACTCACGTTTTTTTGTTAAGCAACATGATTTGGTATATAAACAGCTAAAAACTAGTTCAGAGATAATTTTATAAATATATTTATTTAATAAATAAAAATCAAATGAAAGAGACAAATGGTAATTTATGAAAGGATATCAGGTTTATGATATGATTTAGATAAAAAAAACAAACAAATAAAAATTCTTAAGATGTAAATAATTTGTTATATCTTATTCTATCTTTCGTGTTATCTTATGTTTCAAATCAATTGAATTATTTGTCACTTTAAACTAGGACTGTCTTTTATAGATCACTTACGAACAGCGATAAAGATAAATCAGCGATTATGTGAGAATGGTTATCTGCTGGGCCCAATAATGCTGTCAAAAGCAACCCAGCATCATAAGACTAGCAAACACTTGACTTTATTATACCAATCTGGTCTCGTTTCTGGACAACCACTGTTAATAAAGTGGAACACTATGTGTACGTATTGCATAACAGTACGGATATGCTCATAAGTGTACTGTTGTTCAAAAGAATTATAATTATCAATGGTCATTTAAAATTTCCACAAATGTCATTTGAAAATAAGACATAAAATTAACAAAATTCACTTGAAGCATAACAACAATTATTTTGTTTATTTTGTTAGAACATCATCCATGACATTTGTATTTGATGTATCAAAATAACGTTAACATATACTTATTTCTTTCATAGCAGTAAAAAATATCGGACTACGTGGTAACTACATACAACATTATTTATTCAACCGTGTGCAAAACGATTGATATGCTTATCATCAACTATCGATGTTAATACAGGTGATTTTCTACAATTAAAATAGAATCGAAACCAAAAATTTCCGAAAAAAGACAACATAAGAATCCGTAAAGAAAGTCCAACACGGCAAAACTATTGAAAATGTTGCAGGTTCGGTTTGATTGAGCCTGTTCATGGACGGTACTGTCAAGTGAAAACTACCGTCCACGCCCCTTAACACCATCTTAATCAGAATTCAATATTTAAACAAGAAATGAGAAAAGTTCAAAACTTATTTTACAAACTTATTTTACAGATTTGTCTATTTGAGTTGAGCATGTGATTGGTTACAACTATAATTCTTTTTTGTTACTCATGCTAAAAGATAAACGATACTATCAGAATTGTCATTCAATTATACATTTCATAACAAAGCACAATCGATTTTCAAAACGACGCTTAAAGGCAGCGTTTGCTGGGCTTTATATGTTGCGCAGGTGTTGCTCTCAGTGAGAGAAATTAACGATTCGAGAAAAAAATGCACTTCTATAACACATCGTACGATAGTGTGATATTGTATAGACATTTGGCAAGCATTTGCTTCAGGCATGCCATACAAAAACGTACTCTTAACATTTTCTATCACTTGAAATAAAGACAAATTACTTTAATTGTTTAAGCAAACTATTGTTGTTTCTCTACAAAATAAATTGATATTATTTGGAACGATAAGTAGTTTGTGACATTTTGTACTTAGTCTGCTCATATACAACCGTTGTTGCAACTTTTACGTTATTTGTTCTTGATTAACAAAACTGAAGAAATTAATTTTATTGTTCACGACTTATATCAAAATACGTTAAAGAATATAAACAAAAGTATTTTTTTTTAATCTCACTGCAAATAAGACGTACTTCTTGCTTAAAATGCGTGCTTAAAACACATTTGTGAGCAGGTTTGTTCAGTTTTTATTTCTATAATTAGTTTAAATTACATGTTTTGAAAGTATTTACCAGAATTTCAGTCATATATATCTTTCCTTACGAAATGTAAAACTCTTATGGTTTTAAATCAACTACTGGCCAAACGTTCCTTTTTTTACTTTCATCGTACATTTTTCGGGCATGCCAGTTTGGGCATCTGAACAGAGCAACACCGACAATTGGTAAACTGAAAGATAACTTACATGAAATAATACAACGTCTGTATCGGAACTCGGATCAACTTTGATGAGAAAGAGAATGTACTCAAACCATTACTTTTCCTTTATTGAAATAGCTTTTTATACGTTGATATCCTTCTTCAGTATAATTATGTAGTATTGATACTGTAGCAAAAATCCTTTAAGAGAAAAATCAAGTTATATGCTAAGAATTGTCTGTCCATTTAGTACATAGAAATAAGTCGCACACAATTAGCCAAAATGCTAGATAAGATTGTGGATAATATTTAAAACTTTCTTTTTCTTACATTTCGGGAAAATACATGCATGAACTATTTGCATCGGAGCATGTATGTGAATCCATACACCCCAGTCACACAATAACTTATTAAGATCAGATTATGTAGGTCTCAACGGAATAAAAAAAGTAGCGTTTTATTTCTTCTAGCCGTAAAATGTCACACTGTTCTTGAACTATAGATTCTACATCGTGGAGCTGTATACAGGGAAAATAGTCAGTGGTTGTTTCATTTTGTTTTTGCTTACTGATACATTTCTGGTATCATAATTTAAACATGTCGGATAAACTTAGAAATATAGCCTGATATTGAAAATAGATATAAAAAAAGATGTTCTTACAGAGAACGCCTTAAACAGCACAATTTAAAATGATGCAGGTGTGGTTATAGCAGAATCCAATTTAGAGTTTGTATTTCTGAAATTTTATTGTGTTAATGTGTACAAATAAGGCATTCTTATTTCCATCCCACCCCAATTATTTTAAATATAACACTGAGATGAATTCCATAAGTCGAACTTACAGAAAACACTTCTAATTCCTAGAAGGTTGTATATTTAAATGACACCACTGAGGTTATTTTACATGGAAAAAAACTGGAAATATTATTTCGGGACTTGTATACCATTTGATGTAGATTTGTATCAAAAGCTCACTAAGTCTTGCAAAAGTTTAGACCAGTCCCTCGTTCCGTTTGCCAGAATAATCATTTTCATAGTGCAAATTGACAAAAAATGAGGTGCGTTGCAACGTTTTTCACTGAAAAAGATCTAAAAATCGTACAAAAATTAATTTATGATTCAACTCGTTCACGCCCACCAGGCTTACGGAACATTAAATATATTAAATTTGGCAATGGTTAAATTTTGCATTAATTTTGGAAACATCGACAGATCTGCACATTGTAACTTTTAATAAAAAAATCGTGTAATTATCTGGTTTAATAAACAAAAAAGTATTGCGGTTTAGACAACAATAATAAAAAAAGAATTCCTGAAATGACTTCAGCAAGTAAGTTATTTAAATAAAAAAGTGAAAGGGTTTTCATCTAATATAGCAAGTAAACGTATGATTAGTAAAACACATACGTTGCATTTAACGTCTTTGCAGGAAACATTTCGTAACTGATTCATTTTATGAGTTTTTAGTGCGTTTTTCTTCTGCCGTCTTAAATGTAAATGTTATTTATAACTTTCGTGTCATAATTGTATTTACATGGACATTTTCTTACTTAATCAAAGACAAATGACTGATAGACCAATGTGACAATGAATAATATAAAGGAGATATTATGCAAGATTGCGTGTATAAATAGTGTGTATAAACCCATTAAGCTACCTGTCTCCAACATAACGACACCATCATAGACCGACCGACTCATTCTCTAGACAAATGATAATGCATGTAACAGCTTTTAAGATAGGTTTGACAATCTTCCTAGTTTTTCAAGAATTATAAGTGAAACTGTCAAATTTACATTTGATTTAGAGAAAAATGGATTTGTTTAGCAACATAGGTAATAAGTCGTAACGACACGTCATGTCTAAATATATATATATAATTCTCGATTTGAATGGTCATTAAGAGCGTCTCGAGAACGTCAAATAAATCATGTATGTAATAATAATAAGGAATGATAAAGAAACAAACTATTAGAACATCAACAATTTATATTGTAACATTTATCTATGGGACAGAACCTTCACAATAACGAGTCACATAGACAGCAAATTAATGACGGAGCTATTTGTCAAACCACCCACTCACACTAGCTGATGAACTATGAATGTGATTATTAAATGACAAAATATATAATTATTTCGTCTAATGATAGTCGTTTTTACGTCAACGTTAAAAGAAGCAGTAAT